CTCTTTCCCATCCCTACCTAAACGCTTAAAACCCTTGAAATGGCTTTAGATGAAACAAAAAGTTCAGTGTTCCAGAGGTGGTTGCCTTCCCCACAGGAAAACAAAGTATTATGCACATATAGGGTTTCCTTTACACTACTTTACTTTTTTTGTGAACATCCTCGCTCTAAACAAAATACATAAAAAGTCACGAACTGCTCTGGAGAAGGAGAGTGAGAGAAAACATTTTTTTTCTGGGCTTCAGTTCTATGCAGTACTCAGACACCACAGCAATAAGTATTGTATAAAAACCCAAAACAGCTGCATATTTTCAAGCATCCATATATTGCACTTGTAACAAATATGATAACACTTACAGGCTTCCTCAAATAAAAAAATATTTCATGTGGCTCACCATATGGGCTGAGATTGCTGCATGAATATCACATAAATAAGGGTTGCAAGATTGGAAATGTACAGAATTATTTCAGTTTAGGAATTTTAGCAACTTTTAAGTGATCTGAAAACCAAACCAGGGCCCCAGTACTGCAGTTTATTCAGTACGGACCAATTTCTGTGTGTACACAGCGACAGAGGTCCACTGAAATCAGTGGGACTCTGCAAATGCAAGGTCTACCTGTGCAGAGCAGTTTGCAGGGTCAGAGCCTCAGTACCCATAATGTATGAGCGCTGTTACTGTTAGAGAAGTGCTTGACCTAGTGAAAAATACTAATTAAAAATTATATTGGCTTTAACAAATTCAGTTGTTTCCAAGTTAGCTTTGCATGTTAGGTTTAATCTAGAACCCAAATCGACGTACCAGACCATTAATTCCAGAAACATTGTTTGATCCTCCACTATATCATATGGTTATAGTGCAAGGAGAGTATTACTAAATCTTAATTAGGTTGTTAAATAGATGCGGCTGGATTTGCAGTGTGCTGAGCAGCCCCAGATCCCAATGGACTCATCTGGAGCTGAAGTTATTCAGCACTCGTGGAAAACTGGCTTTATGCCAGAGCCTTACTCCTGCTTTAGCTGTCTCACTTGAATTTGGTCTTGGTGTTCATAAACTGCTGCTTATGAAACCTCAGAGGAAACATCCAAGATGTTTTGGAGCTCTCTGAATTATTTCTATTTGGATAACGTCCCCAAAAACACTAGCCAGTTTTGAAAGGAAGGTTTGGGAGTATAACCATAGGTCTACATCTCCTTGCTAATGGGAGACAAATTATTTTTTTACTATTATACACAGCTGAAATGGCACAGGTGGCATTTATGACATTGCAAATTAAAATTTGTTCCAGTAAAGCATGACTGAGAAATAGCAAAGATAAGACACGGTTAGTGGAGGAAGACCTGCACATATTGTGGCTGACCATTGCCAGGGCCAGGCCAGATTCCATTCTCACTGGGAGTTTCACCTTTGATGAGAGTGGGAGTGGGAGAATCATTTGCACACTTGCATTTTTGGAAGCTTTTCAATCGTTTCGCTCTATACAGTAAACACTCTTAAGGTTCCCAGTGAGGCCAGGA